TATATATATATATATATATATATATATATATATATATATATATATATATAGAATTTGTGGATATAAATATATAAAATATATCAAAAATTAATGTGGGTACTCATTTGAAAGGTCTTGACGAGTGTAACATTGAAATGAGCTTATATCATTAAAAATGTCAATATTTTACAAAATACAAGGCCATTTTTTAATTATGTATCTAAAAAGCATTTTCGAAGCAGCTTAAATAAATTTTTCTGAATCTAATTTATATGTACTTAAAATTCAAATATTATATGGTCTTATGTACCGTGACTAAAACCCTCATTTACTGCTTGTAACATTAAAGGCTACTAGCGTTCTTGCTTCATTAAATAATGACTTTTGTTAAATTGTACTGTACTTTTTTAAATATTGACATTTTTAAAGATATAAGCTCATCTTGATGTTACACTCATCGAGAGCTTTCATTTGAGTACCCACATGCATTTTGATATATTTTCCATATATACATATATATAAATATATAAAATATATGAAAAATTGATGTGGGTACTCAAATGAAAGATCTTGATGAGAGTAACATCAGGATGAGCTTATATCTTTACAAATGTCAATAGTTCACAAGATACAAGATCATTTCTTAATTATGTACCTAGACCTTCTTAAATTTAAATCAAGACCTTTGCAATGACTCTAAATTTCGCTAAAAAAACAATTTTATCATATAACTATCCTAGAGACAAAATTTTTCTTATTCTCTTAAGAATATAGATAATTAAATTATTAAAAAAAATTTTTTTTTTTCAATTATTCAATAATTTAAATTTTACTAAAAAAAATTAATAAATAAAAAAATTGTCAAAAGTCGGCTAATTTGTTGTAATATTAATAAAATTTATACAGAAAAAAAATTATTAGAGCACATACCTGTGTAAATGGATCCATTGTAGTTTTGTATTTAAATACGCAAAGTATTTGCTGCGTAATCCACAAGTATTAGGTCTTAAGTACTTTTACCTGAACAAAAATAAAATCTGAGTAAGTAAAAGTAAATACTTATCAAATAAACCGATTAACAAACAAAGAAAATAATGCACTAAGTCATTAGACGCTTTGTAACTGCCATTGATAAAAAATGTGTCATCGACGACCGTTAAAAATTTGAATGCGTCCGTAAACATTTGTTATTTGTCAAGAAATTAATTTGTAACTCTAGAAAATTATTATTTTTTAAAAACTGTAACTTTGTTTTGGTTAATTTAATCAACTTACCTGTAATTAAAGTGTTAAATTAGGGTGTTTATTTACGTAAATAGTCTATTGTTTATACGTTACCTTTTTTTAAATGCGAAGCGTCCTTTTCTCTGTGTAAAAGTCTATACTGTGACTGGTCGACTGGTGCTGGTGAATGAAGGTGGAACGGAGGGGAAAATAGCAGCTGTCACTTTGCGCGACCTGGAGGAAAAAATTTCAAACTTTTATTTTTTAAATTTTGTAACAGTTTTTTATGTTTTTTAATTAATAAATAATTATTTAAAAAATTATGATACAGTTAATAGACATTATAAATTTTTTTAGAATTTTATAACAATGAAATTGTTATAAAAAAAATTATTAGTTGAAATATTCTAAAGAATTTTTTTAATTTAATTAATTTGTTGTGAAAATTAAAAAAATTGACATGAAACTGAAGTTAGCTAACAGCTGTCACTTTTTAGAAATTTTTTTTTATTAAATAAATTACAATGCGTTTCATTGATTCTTTACGGTCGGAAATTTTGCAGAAAATGGAAACATCAAATTTTGGAAATCTGTGAGTAAGGAAATCAATAAATGAAAAATATGGAAAAGTAAGATTTCAGAAATAATAAAAAAATGATGTGTCTTATTGAGGATACTTTGCAATATCGATTAGTTAAAAAATAGCAATGAAAAAATATAGTAATCAAAATAATTAGAATTATTTTAAAAAAAATAAGCGTAAAATTATAAAATCAAAAAAAAAAGATTTCCGTGAAATTAGACGCATCAGAATATAAACATCTAAAATGACTGATATTTAAAAAAAAAAAAAAAGAATAAATTCAGACAAGTCGAAAAAAAGACAATTATAAATTTAAAAACATAAAAAAATAGACAGTCATTAATATTCGTAAACTTAAAATATGGAAATCTGTAAATATAGACCAATAAATGTTGATATCTGATGTAATTATGAAAATCTGTAAATACGGATAAATATAAATTCTGATAATTTTTATAAGAAAGACAATTGTAAACGTAGTCATCATACGAATTGAGAGCGAAGGAATTTAAAATACAAAATATAACAGAGAGGAGATATATTTTCCAGTGACCGCTGCTCCGGGAAGTTGTCAAGTTGTCGGCGACAGATATCCCTACAATTACCAGTAGCTCCTGTGACCGCTGCTCCAAGAAGTTGTGCAGTTATTTGCGACGTTGTGTCCTGGATTTTTTAAAAATATAAAGATTTATCTCCCGATACTGGTATTAAATATTTTTAAAGGCTGATAACTGCCACCAGCTCTTGTGACCGCTTCTCCAGGAACTATTGAAGTTGTCGACAACAGATTTCCCTATAATTTTTATAAAAAACCAAGATTTATGTTTAGATCTTTTTTCATAATCTTATCCAATTATTTTCTAATTCGTGAATATTTTTTTTCTAAATTTTTATCATTCATTTGTTTATTTAATTATAAACAAATAGTTGTGATATTTTTTATTGGTTATAATAATTTGTTATCCATAAGTCGATGGTGATGGATCGTAAGTCTAAATTTATTACCAGCTCCTGTGACCGTTGCTCCAGGAAGTTTTGCAGTTATTTGCGACGTTGTGTCCTGGATTTTTTAAAAATATAAAGTTGTTTCCCGATACTGGTATTAAATATTTGTAAGGGCCTATAACTGCCACCAGCTCCTGTGACCGCTGTTCCAGGAAGTTGTGCAGTTATTTGCGACGTTTAGTCCTTAATTTTTAAAAAACATCAAGATTTTTTTTTTTAATTTTGGTAAAAACTATTTTCGAGAGCCGATAACTCCCACCAGCTCCTGTGACCGCTGCTCCAGGAAGTTGTGAAGTTGTTGGTGACTCTGTGTCCTGGATTTTTTAAAAATATAAAGATTTGTCTCTCGATACTGGTATTAAATACTCTCGGGGGCCGATAACTGCCATCAGTTCTTGTGACTGCTGCTCCAGAAAGCTGTGAAATCTTTTGGGACATATTGTTCTATAATTTTCAAATATTCATACGTTTTTTTCATTATGTTGAGTTCGGATTAACCGGCACCAGCGCTCCGGGGCGCTATCGCTATCTCATTTTAATTCGCGACGAAAATTAAATAGCGATAGCGCCCCGGGGCGGTGGTGCGCTTAATCCGAACGCATCAAATCCTCATTCTGTCACCAATAAATTTAGACTTACGATCCATCACCATCGACTTATGGATAACAAATTATTATAATAATTACATTTTCTGTAAAATTTCCGACCGTAAAGAATCAATGAAACGCATTGTATAATAAAAAATTACCTTAATAGTTTTTATAAATTTCTTAATGTGAAATAAAAAAAAAAAAATTTAATTACAAAAATTAAATTAAAAAAAAAATTCTAAAATTTGACAGCTGTCGGCTAATTTCACTATCATAAAATTGACAGCTGTCAGAAAACTTTAGATAAAAAATCTGTCAAAATTTTGAATAAAATTTATGAAGCTGAAGTTAGCTGACAACTGTCAATTTTTTAGATTTTTACAACAAATAAATTACTATTAAAACAAAAAAAAAAACATTTAAAAAAAAGGCAACAATAAATTTTTTAGAAAATTTCAATTATAATAATTTATTTGTTAAAAAATATCCTAGAAATCATCAGATGTAAGCTGACTTCAGTATTATTAAAATTTTCTACTAATTTATTAAAAAAATTGAAACTATTACAAAAAATTTCACTTACTTTTGACAGTTGAACTTAGAAAATAAAAAAAGTCAATCTTTTGCAAAAAAAATTCGTAACACTGAAGTTAACTGACATTAGAAATTTTTTCATAATTTTATAACGATGAAAAATTATCATGAAAAAAGTTTTAAAAATTTTTTTTTTAACTTTTTCAAATTTTTACATGTCAATTTATTTTTCTAATTATTTTAGCCATAATTTATTTGTTGAAATAATTATCAAACATCTATAAATTAATTTTCATAAAAAATTCTACGTGTAAAAATTAAAAAAAGTTCGTAATTAAATTTTTTTGACGTGTTTCTTTTTATTGTAACAAAAATAAAAAAATTGACAGTAGTCAGCTGATTTAAGTGTCATAAAAACCTGTCAAAATTTTAAAAATTTGGATTAAAATTTTTTAATAATTTATTAAGAAAAATATTAAAATTAGAAATTACTAAAAAAAATTTCACTTACTTTTGACAGTTGAACTTGGAAAATAAAAAAAAACTCAATCTTACCCTTTCCCAAAAAAAAATTTATAACACTGAAGTTAACTGACAGAAATTGTTTTATAATGTTATAACAATGAAATTATTATGAAAAAAATTTATTATAAAATAAAAATTTTTACAAAAAAATTCCATTTTTAACTTTTTAATACTTTTAAAGGTCAATTTCTTTTTCTAATTTCTTTATCAGTAATTTAATTGTTCAAAAATTCTCAAATATCTACTAAATTAATTTTTATAAAAAATTCTACGTTGTAAAAATTAAAAAAAATTCATGATATATTAAAGTTATCTGTTCACTTGATCATTTTTTAATTTTATTTAACAAAAAAATTTGTTCCGAAAAAAATTTTTTTTTTAAATTGCATTTTTACTTTATTAAATTTTTTAAATGTCAATTTTTTTTTCTCAATTTTTTATCCACTAATTAATTTATTAGAAAAATTATTAAAATTATTAAATATCTGCTAAAAATTAATTTTCATGAAAAATTCTTAGTTAAAGTTTTTTGACGAATTTTTTTATATAGTAATAAAAATAAAAAAATTGACAGTAGTCAGCTGATCTGTCATAAAAATCTGTCAAAATTTTCAGTAAAATTTTCTATCAATTTATTTATTAAAAAAATTACTTACTTTTGACAGTTGATTAAAAAATAAAAAAACTCCATCTTATCTCCATTTTAATAACCAATTCCACCCACCAGATGTCACTGCTAGTAAATTTCAAAATCTCAGCCATTTTGAAAAGCCTACTAGCCATCTTATCAAAAGTATTTTATGAACAGTGAGAAGTAGGGAACATGCAGGAGCTAAATACGCTTCAATTGCTCCAACCGGACACCGGAATTTTAAAAAGTACCTAAAAAAAAATTAAAATAACATTTAATTGTTATTAATAACATTAATCAGCGCGTTTCGACGCCTCGGTGCTAACCCCTGAGCACGACACCCACCTACAGAAATTATTAACAATATCTAGGTAAGTTAGTACATGCAATACAAGTAAAATATCATATATACATTTATTATACATGATGTACTTACCACAATATATGCTGGAAAATAGGCTATACTAGATCGCAGTAAAAAAGTACGAGTCATCACAGATACACAACACACACTAGCAGTCCAAGATGGCAGAAGGCCAGGAGACAGCAAAGAAAATAACGATTTTCGTAAAAACTCCTAAGGACAAACATTCCATCGAAATTGAAGAAAATGCGAGCATTAAAGACGTAAGTCATTTTTTTTATTTTTCACTCTATTTACTTTTTGTTATCGATTGCGTCAGCTCAGGAAATTTCATTTAATGTAACGTCCACAACACGTCACTCGTGTCATTTTTTTGGGTTAGGCTTCGAGTACATTCGCTGACTAATTAATAAAATAATTTTTTTTTAATTAAACAAATTAATAAAATATTTTTTTAGTTCAAAAAAGCAGTCGCGGAAAAATTCAGCGCCGCGATCGAGCAACTCTGCTTGATATTCGCGGGGAAAATAATGAAAGATCATGAGACACTGGAGACACATCGGATCAAGGATGGATTGACAGTTCACTTGGTGATAAAAACACCACGTCCGGCTGCTACGCAACCAGACACTGCGCCTCCGCCTTTAAGATCAGGTTTTTATTTTTAAATTTCTTTGCTTGATATTTTATTTTTTTTTTTTCTTGTTTTTATTTTTGGTTATTTCGACAGTTCCGGATATTGGAGCGAATCCCTTTGGGCTGGGAAATATCGGAGGACTAGCGGGCTTAGAGAATTTGGGACTTGGGTCCGCGAACTTTGCTGATCTTCAGCAACGCATGCAACGCGAGCTACTGTCGAACCCAGAATCCATGCGGCAGGTTTTTGACAATCCTTTGGTGCAAAGTTTGATGGAAAATCCGGAGAATGTTAGGATGTTGGTGTCGGCTAATCCTCAAATGCAAGAGTTGATGCAACGCAATCCGGAGATCAGTCATATGTTGAATAATCCAGAGTTATTGAGGTAATTTTTTTTATATAAATTTTATTGAAAGTAAAATTTTTTTCTAAAATAAAATATTAGTTTATTTTTTAGGGTTATGAGGTAAAGGCTCCAAATATTGACCAATTTAGATAAAATGAATGAAAATAAATTTAGCAGATATTTACTAATTTTTAGAATTTTTTTTAAAAAAATAAACAGTGGTAAAAATAAATGAGAGAAAAAAAATTGACGTGTAGAAATTTTTAAAAATTATAAATGCAATTTTTTAAAAATAATTTTTCAGAAAAGATTTATTTGTTTAATTAAATTAACATCTATATTATTTAGAAAATAATAAAAATTTATAATACTAAAGTTAGCCGACATTTTTAATTTTTCTTCATTAATTAAATTAGAACAAAAAAATATTTTTTTTAAAAAATTGCACTTCCAGTTTTTCAAATTTTTTACAAGTGACATTTTTAAAAAATTTTTTTTGTTCCAATTTTTTTAATAAAAAAAAATTTTTTTAATTTCCAGATGTCGGCTAACTTAATTTTCATTAAAAATTTTGTTTCCGGGATATTCATTAGATAAAATCGGTTTTTTTAGTAAAATTTAGTGTCATTGTTAAGGTCTGGGCTTGAATTTGTGCCTTTTCAAGGTTTTATTTCATTCTCACCCATAATAAATTTATTATGATGAGTATTTAGGCTGCATTTGAAAATTCTCTATCTTTAGACACATAATTATAAAAAGACCTGTTATCTTGTGAAATATTGACATTTTTAATAATATAAGCTCATCCCGATGTTACACTCATCGAGACGTTTCATTTGAGTTACCCACATCAATTTTTCATATATATATATATATATATATATATA